TTGCTTTCTCTCTCTCTCTCTCTCTCTCTCTCTCTCTCTCTCCCTCTGTCCCTCTTTGGTCAAATTGAAATAAACAAATTATGAATAAAGTTAAAAATAATTCTAAAAAAATATGAACTTTCCATGGGAATAAGGACAAAAAGCCTAGTGAGTTTTGGATACTAATCATATGTGAATTTAATTTCTGTTATAAATGTTTTTTTAAAAAGCAAATGCTTATTGAAAAATTCAGCCAGTTAAGAAATAATGCTATGCAGACACAATTTCTGTTATTTTGTATAGAGTTGTTACAAGTTATAATGAAGTATAGATTTAATAATTATTTGTAAATAGGGGATATATTTACTTATTAGGTTAGAGTATGTTTTTTTGTCAAAAGCTGAACTTCTAGTTACTGTATAGGGTAAGCAGCAACTAAAACCACTGTTCTGTGTATTTACCCACACAATGTGTAGTGATAAGAACAAGAGGTTTTTTGCAAATATTTTGAAGTTGTGCTGCCACTATGGTGTATATATTGAAGGCTTAGATATTTCACTGTATTCCTCTGAGTGCACTTTGGTAAGTCAGAAGAGAGTCTGCATTCAGATACAAGAGCTAGTATAAGGGTAAGTTAGCAAAGCCAGCTCTAGGGGTTTTTGTTTGTTTTTGTTTTTGTTTTGTTTGTTTGTTTGTTTTAAGAACAACATTTACCAGAAGTATGGCATGGGAATCTCATAGCATCTTACAGATTTTTAAGAAGTCGATGTCTTTTGGCAAATTGTCCAACACAAAGAAATCTTTTGTTTCATATATTCCATGTTTAAGTGAAAAAACAGGAAGGTAAATAAAAGAGCTAGTAATGAAAGAAATGTGATTTCATGTGCTGCTTCTTTGGCCTTTGTAGACTGAACAGATTTGGTATTTGTGGTACATATATATATATATACACTCAGGTAGAGGCTTGGTTGTCATTCAGTCTTTAGGGCCTTCAGGGAGTTAATGAAAACCGTAAAGTCTTGGCACTCCATGGTGAGGTGGCACTTGAACCTGCAGAGCGTGTAGCTTAGTGGTTATGGCATTAACTACAGGGAGCATGAGTAATTTAGGGAGAGAGCCTTTCAGTCTTGGATCAGTCTTAAAGCAGACTTCATGCTGAGCATTTCTGCTAAATTGCATCTCTTTTACAAAGCAGCAGTACTCAGTATGCTGTAGTATTAACCAGTAAGACAAGTTCAGTGACAAAGGAGAACTAAATTCTTAAAATTGACATTTAGGCAAAAGTTAGGTGTTTTAGGAGGTGAGATTGGAACATGATCTTCACAGAAAACATTGATGATAAAAACAGAGAACTGTCTGCTAGGTACTTGTGTGCTTGACTTTAGTGACCATCTTTTCTTAACTTGGTTTAAGTTCAAACTCCTTTTCACAGGATCTTTAAACCTATTGTAGACAGTACAGAAGTGAGTGGATAAAGTTTCATTTGGAGACTCTGATAGCTTAGCCAATAAACTTGGACCTGCCCAAATATGGTAGTAATATTGGGACAAAACGGGGACTTCCAAATGTTGTTTTCCTTTTGGAAGCAAAGTCCATAACAAATTCATTTGGATATAGTATTGAAAATCTGGTCATGAAATAATGACACAAGTATGAGAAGAAATTTTTTCCAAAATCCATTTTGTGTATTTGGGCAGAAGCAAAAGAAAGAAGATGCTTTTCATTAAATTGGTTTAATAGAGGACATGGAAGCTTTGTTTCCTAAAGAAAACATATCTTTACCCTAAACTATAATCTTCTACTGTCTGTTGGTTGCATGCATTGCTGCATTTCCTCTGTACATGTGCTCTCCTTTATTTTCATGGCAAATGCATTTTTAAACACAGTCTCTGGGATAATTATTGCCATTGATCAGTTTTGATATTTCTTCTTTAATAATGTTTTCATTTATTCCCTTTTGCTAGCTGGATTGCCTTTTGCAATTCTTACTTCAAGGCATACCCCTTTCCACCGAGGAATATTCTGTAATGATGAGTCCATCAAGTACCCTTACAAAGAAGACACCATACCTTATGCGTTATTAGGTGGAATAATCATTCCTTTCAGTATTATCGTTGTAAGTGAAATCCACTTTTCCAAGTTTATGATTTTTTGGCACTGGGCTTAATTTTGTTACTCTGTTCATGATTTAATATGAAATTCTCCAAAACACTGTATGTTTTTTAAGTCTTTTCACAGAGGTTTATTGGATCAAGATCATCCAGCTATTGTAGGTAGGGCCAAAAGAATAACAATGTATAATTAGAGGAACCTTACCAACTACGTGTAGATTTTATGCTAACTTTCTCCATCTTACTGTAAATATTAATGCTCTAAATTGCTGTTGTTTCAGTGATTGTGGAATTAATAGATGGATGTTATAGCAGTGTGTTTCAAGCATTCTTTGTATATAGGGTATTATTTTATCATTTATTACATATGTATCTAAGTATCTGCTTTCTTTAGTCATTGAGTTCTAGGACAGAAAAAAAATTGCTAATGTTAAAATCTCTAACTCACGTTTACTAAAGATTTTGTAGATAATGACATAAATAGAAGAGAAAGCTTCAGTTTCATATGTAATTATCAGTGAACATGGAAGAATTTTACTGGTACTGAAAGCAAGACTAAGTTTTGAACATCAATAATAACTTATTTTCTAATATTACAGGTGGAAATGGTTAGAGAATGAGGCTCTAGGGAGAATATTTCAGTGAGTAGATGAGATGATTTTTATCATCTCCTGACTCAGAAATTCTATGACTTTATTCAACAGTTGTGTGCTCTATAACTTGTAAATTAGGAAAAAGTTTTATGTTAGTTAAAAGCAGAAGGTATTTTCTTATTCAGGAGATAGGCCAACAAGATGACAGCTTTTATCTTATCTGTTTTTGAAGTGTATTTTTCAAAACCCAAAACTTCTTAGTTTAGAAATGTAATGCCTTGGTCAAGAATTTTCAATAGAATGTTGTTAACAATGAAAATTAATCACCTCATAATTTCTGGTATGTTGTTAGTAAAAGAAAACCTCTGCTATACAGAATTTTGTTTCACAAGACTGTCACCTCCTTAAAGACAGAGGTGATACTTGGTTTTTCTTGGTATTTACACTGTCTGGCATGGAGCCAGGCGTGGCCTGTGTGTTTGAATGAAACCATGTGTTCACGTGAGTGAAACAAGTAATTGTGCAGTACGCTGGTGATATTCTACAGTTTGACTGAGTTTTAAGAAATTAAATATTAATTCAATTAATTAATTTTTTTATTGAGTTTTGTTATTAAAAGAAAGCCAAATATGATTCTTCCATTTGTAGTGAATAGTTTTTTCTTTTTTAGTATTTAGTATGTATTCTGAGAGACTATTTCTTTCTTTTTATTTATTTATTTGATTCATTTTTAAAGGTTTTTCTCATGCACTCGCCAGAGAGAGGTAGAGGTGGAAAGTGAGAAACCACCCCTGAGGGGCCAGAACACAGTCCCTTCTCCTCCATTTTCCTCTTGGGATTTTGGAAGTGCATGCACACATACCTTGTATGATTTTCAAGCTGCCAGTTTTAGGACTTAAACTGTGGTCAGCCATGTGAGAATCCAGCATCTTAACCTCCACACTACATGTTGACCCCCCTCTTTTAAAATTAATTTTTTAATCCAACATTTATTGTTATTTATGATTTACATAAAATCATTATACATCTTTGTAGGGTACAGTGTAGCTTTTAAAAGTATGTATACAGTGTGTAATAAATTAAGGATATCAATATATTAGTTACCTTCAATATTTAACATAAAATTTTTAGTGAAATTCTAAGTTGCAAATGATAGCTGATTATAAACAGAATTTAAGTATTCTAATAAACAATGCTTGGGAATACACTTGTCGTTCAATTAGACTTTTCTTTGTGTCTCAGTGAAAAGAATGCTACCCCAGCAAAACTGTGGCAATCTCCTATAGACCAGAGGTCTACAACAGACAGGCCACTGGGCCTTGTGTGAGTGCGCACAGCCTGCAGGGTACACAGAGCCTGACAAAATGCCTGGTTAGCAATACTTAGGAATTATATGTCACTAACTTTTTATTTTTTGCTATTTCAACATAACCTGTGAGAAAGGTACCTTTATATTTAACAAAAGGCAAGTAAATATATATGAGTATAGATTTCTTTAAAAAGAACAGACTCTCTGCAGGTACTATAAAAGTACTGTTTTCATATGAACAATATCAACACAGACTAACACTGCTTTAGAGCACTGGTATTAATACTGATTTTAAGTAATTCCATTTTATTCATTAATTCACTTTCTTTCAAGCAGTCCTTCGGTGGACTTCTGTATGTATAACTTTATTTATTAGAAAGTAAAGCATTTCTTAAAAAAGAAAAACTGTAATTCAGCCCTAACACCAGACATTTAACATGACTTCTAAATGATCCATAAATATATGAGTGGTTGAGGGAGCCTGGTAAAGAACCAGAATTAATATAGTTTCTCAGAATACAAGGGAGAATTTTAGTAGGAGGAAATGATCAGTGAAGTCAAATACTGTTAAGAAGTTAAAGTAAATGAAGAATGATAAAAATCTGTTTGATCCGATGAGACAATTTAGACTTTTGAGGAAGATCGATAGAAAAAAGAGAATGGAGGTAGTTAGAGATGTTCAGGAGGAAGGAGAAGATGTGAAAATTTGCCAGTGATTTTAGACTTATTCTTTTGGGAAGGTCGGGCCCTGAATGAAAGATACCAGAACTATAGAGACAGAGAAAAGACACGTAAAATTGTCTTGGTAGAGACACAGAGGTGTTGATGAGAGAAAACTGTGGGGCATAAGTTTAACAAAAGTTGGATCACACCGATGTATATAATTAATTAGCTTCGATCTTCCTACGTATTCCATTTTAGTCCCCCAAATATTACCTTTAGTTCGTTCGTTCGTTCTTTCTTTCTTTCTTTCTTTCTTTCTTTCTTTCTTTCTTTCTTTCTTTCTTTCTTTCTTTCTTTCTTTCTTTCTTTCTTTCTCTTTCTCTACCATATCCTTAGAATCTAAGTAAATAACACATGACAAGTCATCTCAGTTCTAGGATTAAGTCACTGTTGGCTTAGGTGTAGACTTCACCAAATCAGAATTGGCATAAATGGCTCAAAGGGCAGCATTAGGTGTTAGAAAGAAACAAAAGAATATGGCCATCTTGTGTAGAGCAAATGGATAGACACATCTCTAAATTTAATTCAGAACAACTGATTTAGAACTCTTGTCTGTTTCTTTCAAGAAAGAGGGAATACATCATTAAAAATGATGTATTATTCAGTAAAGTGACCTATTATTTGCCAACTTTATAGAGTTCTCCCCCACCATCCAGCTTAAATGATTAAATTCCAACTTACTCTTGTCCTTAATCATCTTTTAAGCTGTGGCCCTGTACTCTGAATGTTTCTAGTAAACTGATTTTCTGTCACCAGTGGAAAAACCAGGATTTGGGTTACCCTAAATGATGATGATTAGGGCTAAGAAAACTCACAAAACTTAGTACCTGTTTCCTTTTCTCCCTCCCACCCCTCACTCCACTGTATGCCAGAAGGCATGCATGTTTACCAGAGAGAGACAAAGTGAGAGAAAGATGGGAAAAAAAAGCATCCCCCAATAGGGTCTGATCATGTCCTAATCTCTTCTCCATTTCTTCATCTTTTTGGGATTTTAGGATGCATGCACACACACACCTGGCATTTTTTTTTCTTTTTTTTGGAGAGGTTTTTGCTATAGGGCACGTGTGCTCGCTAGAAAGACAAGAGAGACAGAAAGCAAGAAATAACCCCCTGGGGGGATGGCCATATCGCAGTCCCTTGTCCTCCATTCTCCTCTTGGGATCTTGGGCATGCACGCATACGCGCCCGGCGTGAATTTAAGCCACCAGGTCCAGGACTTGAACCACGGTTGACTACATGGGAGTCCAGCGACATAGCTATTATGCTAACTGCTGGTCCCAACACCTGTCTTGTTTTTCAAGCTGCCAATCTGAGATCTGAACCCCACAGTCAGCCATCTGGGATCCAGCTTCCTTAACCGGTAGGCCTAGAGCTGGCCCAGATTAGTACCTGTCTCTAAAAATAGCTGAATGCTTAAGGATACCTGATAGCTGAGAAACGGAAGTTTCAATCCTAAAATTATGGCTGATTGCTGTTTGGTATATTTTCAATTACAAAAGATCAACTCCATAATGAAATGGTAGAGAAATCTTTTCTGGCTACTTATCTATTCAGAATTGCTGAGACCTTAATGACCTGAGGAGGCAATACTTACTTTAATCCAAGGCAGTCAGGAGTAACCCTAAACAAAAGTAGGAAGTTTTGGTGTTTCTAAAGTACACAGTTTTCCTCTCCTGTGACTTGGTCTCAGAAAAGGATCTAATTCACTCATTCCCATTAAGGTTTACAATGAAGACTGTATTTCTGTGGGGCTTAATCTATTTAAACTAAGGATGTCTACTTTTTACCCAAGAGGCAACACCTTCATTTAAAATTTATTGACCACCTACTCTGTTTCAGGTCATTGTGGTGATATTAGTTTTCTTTCCAACAGTTAAGAAATCATCCCTGCTTTTGTAGAGTTCATAGTCTAATTGTTCATAGTCTAATTGTTCATAGTCTAGTTGACCTTCTATTGCAATTATGGAATCCATTGGGCCAGATGACTGAAGAATTTTTAGTATCAGCTTCTTGAAATCTCTTTCAGGAGGCAGACATTTGTTTCACTTATTGGAGGTTCACCCTGAAAACAGTTGATGTTTACCAAATAGAAATATTTGAATGCCTACAAAACTGTTTTTGTAAATTTAGGATGAAGCAGGGAAAATACTATAGTACCATGGTACTATCTCAAGCAAAACTTTCTTATGGATACCCTCCTCTCCCCTCACCCAAATTAGCTAGGAGACATTCCCATTATTTATTTTGGTCTCAGGTAGCTAGAGTGTATCTTAAATAATCAGCAAATGTTACCATTTATAATGTTGCCATCAGCATTTTCTTTTAATTTCTCAGGATACTGGCTTGTGAACTAGTAAAGCAGTTGGAAACCTTTCTATGCCTTTACATTCATTACAGTAATGTGCTGACGCTGACCCTCACCCCCAAGACACGCACACACACACACACAGCTAGAATCTGGAAAATATTATAGTTTATGAAAAGGCTTTAACTCAAATTTACAGAAGTCATTGAAAAATAAGGGGAAGATTTCACTTGAAATATTTTGTTGGAAAGGGGGAAGCACTAAGTATGTGTTTGGTTTTTCAGTATGGCTTGTTAAGGAAGCTTGGCTTAAAGGTCTGGAAGGCAGGGCCGGTAGACCCTATCAGCAAAAATCTGTGCCCTCTGTACCCCTCTAGAGCCCTGCTTTTTATATTAGAGTTCTTAGTCCCTGAAACAATTTTACCCTTTTTATTGGGTTGTCGGAAAAGTCATGACATTTTTTTCTATGCAAAAATGTGTCGTGACCTTTTCGACAACTGAATATGATGAATGTCTTTGATTTAAAAGAATGTTTGAGAAAAATGAATACTATGTCAGATAAAAGTACTTACATAAGAGAACTTCTGATTGGGGAAGTTTATTTTCTTTGAACAAACCATGGGTTTTGGCCTCCAAGATTCATCAGTGTCTACTTATTAAAGCTCAGTTTATTTGAATACAAGAAAATAAATAAGGTCTTGTTTCAGGTAGACTGAAATGATTTTAGTTCAGCCTTGGATTTGTAAACAGTGTCCACAATCGATCCTACACTTTTTGTGGCTTAGAAGATATCTTAAATTGATGCTCTGTAAAAGTGGGGAAAGATTAAAAAAAAAAAAAAAAAGTGGAGTTGCTGTTTTAAAAACAAAGATCTTACTGTGATTTACAACTTTCCGTTTTTTGTTTGTTTGTTTAAAGTGCCTGCTTGCCACTTTAACATATTATCTTTGTTTCTTTTTCAGATGATTCTTGGAGAAACCCTGTCTGTTTACTTTAACCTCTTGCACTCAAATTCCTTTATCAGGAATAATTACATAGCCACTATTTACAAAGCTATTGGAACATTTTTATTTGGTGCAGCTGCTAGTCAGTCCCTGACTGACATTGCAAAATACTCAATAGGCAGACTGCGGCCTCACTTCTTGGATGTTTGTGACCCAGATTGGTCAAAAATCAACTGCAGCGATGGTTACATCGAAAACTATATATGTCGAGGGAATGCTCAAAAAGTTAAGGAAGGCAGGTGAGTGGTAAATCTTTAATGCTTGTTCTGTCTTGCGTCTCCCTGGAATAGAAGGTTGCAGTGACTGCCAGATGAGCCATGTACCAGCTTTAAGAGAGAAACTAGTGTAGTGACTGGGAGGCAAATTAAAATGGTTATGTTTTGACTTGTTCTCTCTCCTCATTGTTTGTTTGTTTGTTATGTTTTTGCCCTAGGGTGCATGCACCTGCCAGAGAGAAACAAAGAGAGACAATAAGGGGAAAGTGAGAAATCATTTCCCAGGGTGATGGCCATGCCACAATGCCTTCCCCTCCTGAGATTTGGGCACACATACACATGCACCCAGCATGATTTTTCAAGCCTCTGGATTTGGCACTTGAACTGTGATCAGCCATGAGGGAGACCAGAGCTGTAACTACTGTGCAACCTGCTTGCCCCTCCTCATTCTTTTTTCCTAGTTTCTCACTCTTCATTTAAGAGCATTTTACTGCAACTCTTCATCACTAGTGTATAAGAATATAAAATGAACTTCATAGATTATTTGGTCCAGGGTCAGCAAACTTTTTCTTAAGATGCCAGAAAGTAGGTATTTTAGGCTTCATGGGCTATAGGCGTTTTAAAATTTTCCCACAAATATTGAACTCTGCTTTGTAGCAGCAATAAAGCAACCATAGATGGTTCTTAAATGAATTGTGTGACTTTGTTAGAATAAAACTTAAATTACACAAACAGTGGCTGCCCCCAAAGGTCATAGTTTGCTGAGCTCTGATCTAGTCCAACTATTTATGAAGCTCTGCTAGAGCTTTTAATGTTCCCAGAGTATGTATTTTCTTGTAAGGTAATATGGTTCAGATTGTGACCACTCTAGGTCCTCAGGTCACCTTCCTGAAACAGCCTTATTAGGCTACTTTCTACATTCTGGAGCACTACTAGACATGAATGAGATGAATGGTCCAGCTCCTTTAGTTTATAGATGGAGGAAAAGGTGACTAAAGAGGTAAGAATTGGAGAAACAAGTGGTAGAAGTTGATATTGATTGGAGCCAGGTGAATAAGTATTTTGATAAGAAGAGTAGAGGAATAATGGTCTAGAAATGGCTGTGAGGAGTGATGAAGGTAACAGCAGCAACACTGGACTCCTAAAGTGTGGGATATGGGGATCTCATTCTCTTCTTTGATAGGGAAAACTACAGCGCCACCCCATATTCTAGGGAAAGGCTGTATAATTGGATGACTAGAAAGTGTAGTGAACCCTCCTGAAAGAGTTTGAAAATACAGGGAAGGATAGAGAACTTTAACGATAGAATTGTAATTCCAGAGTTGGGATGGAGAGGATCAACAGATGCTTAGTTGAAAGAAGGGGAAGCTTATTGGAAATGAGATTGAAATTTAAGACAGATTATAAAGAACAGCCAATAGCTTGCTAAAAACATGCCATGAGAAACAAAATTTAAGAAGAAAATCATGATTTTATATTCTTTCAACTATTTCTTAACCATGTAGCCTTTAAAAAATAACCATATATATTTTTGAGGGCAATAATGAAAATTACCTCTAAGGATTTAAATCATACACACATGCACTCATTCTCTCCCTCTCTCTCTCTCTCTCTCTCTCTCTCACACACACACACACACAAAGAACAAATAATTATTAACTACTTTGATATTAAAAATAGCTTTATTGAGGTATAATTTATATTCTGTAAAACTTATCCATTTTAAATATACAGTTAGATAAATTTTATACATTAAGTTGTTTACCATAGCAATCAGGTTTTTAAATATTTGCATTACACTAAAAAGTCTGTTTCTAAGCCTTTGTAGTCTCCTTTCTACAACCTCAGGATCTTTTTTCTCTCCCTATAATTAATGTGTTCTAGAATATAGTATAAACAAGTCATATAATGAGCTGAGCACTTTGTTGTGTCTTTCACTTCACATTTTGCTCTTGTGATTTTTAAAATAATCATTTGTTTAATTTTATTTATTCATTTATTTCAGTTCAACTAGAGAGAGATAGGGGGAGGGGAGGTCTAGAAAGAAAGCCACCAGGTCCAGACCTGAACCACAGTTGGCCATGTGGGAGTATCCAGCACCTTAACCACCACGCCACCTGCTGGCCTCTCATGCTATTCTTTATGTCCCCTATGAGGTATATTATTATAGTTTTAGATTGTATGGCTATCCTACAGTTTGCTTATCCATTCACCCAAATGTTGTTGAACATATGGGTTGTTTCCAATTTTCATCCCTTAAAAATAAGGCCACTATGAAGACTTATGTACCAAGAAATAGACTTTATTTCTCTAAAATAGTCAGTCATAAAAATGCTAGCTCAGACAGCATTTGTGCATTTAACTTTCTAAGAAGCCATTAACTTTTTCACAGTGGTCATACCATTTATGCATTGTCCACACTAAAGTATGAGACTCCCAAAGTCTGTCATTATTTGTTATTGGTCAGTCTTTTTAATTTTAGCCATTCTAGAGAGTTTTAAGGTATCTCAGTGTGATTTCAATTTACATTTCCCTAATGACTAGTGTTGCTTAATTTTTTTGTCCATTTAACTTTTGTCATTTGTGAAAAGTCTATTCAACTCTTTCACTTGTTTGAAAAAAATCAGACTGCTTGTTTTACTGAGCTTGAAGAGTTTTTTATAGGGACCAAAAGGTGACCTGGTGGTTAAGGCATAGGACTCCCACATGACCAGCCATGGTTTGAGTCCTGGACCTAGTGGCTTGCTTTCTTACTTTCCCTCTCTGTCTCTCTCTCTCTGTGTCTTTCTCTATCTCACTCTGATGAGTGCATGTACCCCACAGCAAATTAAATAATAATAATGATAATAATAAATATAATTAAATAAGTCTAAAGAAGAGAGTTCTTTATATATTCTGAACAAAAGTCAGTTGTCAGTTACATGTTTTGAAACTACTTTCTCAGTCTGTGGCTTGACTTTATTTTATTTTATTAATTTTTTCTTTTTTCTTTTTTTTGGAGAAGATTTTTGCTATAGGGCGCGTGCATTCGCCGGAAAGACAGAGACAGAGAGATAGAGAGAAATCATCCCCCAGGGGGGATGGCCATGCCACAATCACTTCTCCTCCATTCTCCTCTTGGGATCTTGGGCACACATGCACACGTGCCCAGTGTGAGTTTAAGCCACCATGTCTGGGACTCAAACCACAGTTGACTACATGGGAGTCCAGTGACATAGCCATTACACTAACTGCTGGTCCTGACTTTTTTTTTTACTTGTGTTTTCTTGATGCTTAGAAGTTTTAAATTTTGATAAAATCCAACTTATTACTTTTTCTTTTATGGTTTGTGCTTTTTATGTTCTAATATTTATTTGTTTGAAATTTAGAAAAATTTTCTTCCTATGTTTTCTTTTATAAATTTTGTAATTTTTAGCCCCTATATTTTGGTCTGTGATCCATTTAAATTAAGTACATAATGTGAAGAGTCAATATCTCCTTTTTCCCACTGACTAGCAGTTCTTCCAATGTTTATTTATTGACAAACTATCCTATTCATGTAGAATTCCCTTGGTGCCTTTGTTGAAAATGAACTGACTATAGAAATGTGGGTCTGCTTTGAACTCTCAGTCTATTTCATTGATCTTCCTGCTTCTTATTCTGTCACTACCAAACTGAAGCTTTTATAGTAGGTCTTAAAATAATGTATAAATTATTTGACTTGTTCTTCTTTTTAAACTTGCATTATCTATTGTAGGTTCTTACATTTTTTTTGCTAGAATTTTGATGGAGTTTGCTTTCAATCTATAAATCAATTTGTGGAGAATTGCCATTTTAGTGTGGAGCTTCTAATCCATGATTATGGTATATATCCATTTATTTAGATTTTCTTTAGTTTCTCTTATCAATAAAATTTATTTAAAAATTTCAGTGACTGGGTCTTGTATACATTTTGTTAAATATATCATTAAGTTCTTGATGCCAATGTGAGAAGGTTTTAAATTTTGGGAGTTTTTTGCCACAGGGCACAAGTGCTCGAAGTGAGAGACAGAAAGAGGGGGAAGTGAGAAATCACCTCCTCCAAGGGCGATGGCCACACTGCAGTCTGTTCTCCATTTTCTCCTTTCAGAATTTTGGGCAGGCATGCATGCATGCCTGGAGTGTTTTTCAAGCTGCAGCACTCATCCAGTACCGTAATCACCACATCACCTGTTGGTCCCCTATTTTTGTAAATCAATTTCTGTTTGAGTGTGTGGAAAATAAAATTGATTTTCGTATTGGCCTTGTATCCTGTAACCTTGCTAATTTAATTGATTTGTTAGTTGGAATAACTGTTAATGACTATTCTAGGTTTTCTACTTTTCCATTTATATTATCTGTGAATAAAGAGAGTGGTACTTCTTTTCTATATTGCCTTTTCTTTCTTCTCCTTGCCTGTTATATTGGCTAAGACCTGCATTACAAGATTGAAAGAAGTGGCAAGAACAGATATGCTTGTCTTCTTCCCGACATTAGGTAGGAAGTACTCAGTCTTTTACCCATCTGATGTTACCTGTATGTTTTTTGTAGGTGCCTTTCATTAGATTTTTTTTAAAAAAAATCATTAATGGCTGTTGTATTTTGTCACATGACTTTTCTGTGGCTGTCCTGTTGTTTTCTTATTTACTTTTTTTTTTTTTTTTGAGAGAAAGAAAGAGCACACCACTTAAAGTCCTATTTATGTTTTCGAAAACAACTTCTTTACAAGCAGGATGTATCTAGCTAGGTGGCGTGGTGGTTAAGGTGGCTAGATCCCAAATGGCTGGCTGTACAGTTTCAGTCCTAGACCTGGCGACTTGAAAAGAACACCAGGTTTTGTTGTGTGTGTGTGTGCCCAAAATCCCAAGAGGAGAGAGAGAGAGAGATTTTTGACAAGGTCACTATGTTGCAGTTTTTCTGTTCTAGCCTCTCAGCTAGCTAGGACTATAGGCATGCACCACTGAGCTTGATCTGTTTGGTTTGGCCCAGGAACCAGACCTGGTCCTTCAGGCAGCCTCAGCCACCAC